GCTGAAAATGAGGTTATGCATATTATGTCTCTGAATCTTCCAATTTCCAACTTCTGTAATTTTCAGCTTTCCAAGACTAAATTATGGCGTTAACAGGTCAAGTTTCACTCATTCCACCCCGTTGCCACCATCCTCAGTTACTTGACCAAGGCCCCTCTTGTAAGTTTAAATTCTCTATCTATACATAATATGAAATTTTGGAAGGTTGCAAAACTAATTATTGTGGTGGCAACAACACAGGTTCCACCTGGTACCCCAGTGGTGAATGCATTATCAAAGCAGAGAGCTATGCTGGAAAATATCATGAGGGCTTGTGTTGGATTAGCTCCCGAGAACAACATGATCCTGGAGTACAAGTGAAGTAGGAATGAGAGAGCTACGGTTTGGGGATAGTTTGGTTAAATGTGCCTAAAACTGAACTTATATCCCATACCCTCTTTTTCTGATATCTATTGCAAAATGTGAATTTAAAGATCGTACGATCTGTGTCTGTGTTCCTGCGACTTATTTGAGAGCAGGCTATCTACGCATGTAAAATAATACAAGTTATTCAAGTGTCTTGTGCTTAATTCACTTTGCAATTACCTTTTTCTATTATCTGTATCTGGAAGCCTTGGCACAGAACCTCTCTTAGAACTGATAACTCAGTGTTAACTTCTAGGACTGGTTAGGACCACACATCACATGAACAAACGTATTCTAAGAATCACCCAAAGTTCTTCATAAAAGGTAATGGCAATTATTGAAAATATTTGGAATACAAACATTTAAACCAGAGATACTTGCTTCATCTGCATCTGGACCTGATATTGAAAGTGGTGAATCAGTAACATGATTCTTATATTTGTATTACTGTTTCAAAGGAACAGAATGAATAATAAAATATAAAACGAATAATGGTTAACATTATTGATTGTTATTTAGAAGGAAACTAACTTCATAGTCTAGAATAATATGAATCAATGTTCCCCGTTATTAAGGCAGAGGTTCTATCAGTGCAGTGTTACATTGTATTTATTCAGGAAATAGACTTAGTTGCTTCAAATCATAATATTTAGTATAACTCTCTTTCGAACGCATGCTAAATTGGCAAGATATAATTTGAGTGTAATGTTTGCAAAACCCATAATTAAAAAATAATAATTGATCAAATTTAAATGTTCTAAATCTTGTAGTGAATATTAGTTTTTTTTTTAAAAAAAAAATAGAATAAAATGAAGATGAGAGAGATAAGCAATAATGGATAGAGACATGAGACAGCATGGCATCATGATGGCGTAATGGGTGGTTTCAACATCATAAACGCGTGAAGAGAATTGAACGGATCCATTATTGTACGATCCAGTCTCTCCAATTGGACCATTTGGCCCAATCCATGCTCATCACATGAACATCCCTTCAGCCTTCAGTCACATGCCCATCGACACTGACATTCTTCACATTTTAATCACTACAATGTCACTCACATAAGCCTACAACATCCATTTTTTTTTTCACTTCATCAAATAAATTCTTTTCTCATATATAATAATTTTAAACTAAATGGTGTAATTTTGTTTGCATTATTAATATACTCTAATAATTTGTTCTTAATATCTGATTTCACTGTATGAAATTATTTTCAGAAGAGATGCAACGCAGTTTAAATATTCTCAGATTTTTTTTGTTCATATTTTGTACTATCATTTTTCCTTATTTTTCTTCTATTTTCATCAAATCACTCATTGATCATCACCTTTTAAAAAACTTTTTTCTCTGTTTCTTTAATGGGATGAGTGTACTTTAAAGTTTTCAATGTTGATATTATGTGTGAAGGAACATTTTGTTCAACTCGCCATTATTTCCTCCTAACAAGTAAAATATGGTGGAATTTTTTTTAATATTTCATTTATTATATTTATTAATTTTTATGTGAATTTATATTGTCATGTGACGCATCCATAATTTCTGCACGTGTCTTCTTCATCACATGCATGTTTTTTTCTTTTTATTGGACCAAAAAATTTATTGTCAGTTCATAATAATTCCACAGAATCTGTCTAGATTTTAGTAAGGAGGCATTGGGGGCATGGTTGAAAGTCATATATGTGCTAATGAAATAGGTATCTTGTTGTGGCCCCAAAAAAAAAGTGAACTCAAAATTGACAAATAATGAATAATTATATTGTTGAAAGATGCATGGAATTGGTTCATTATTGATGCAAATAACCTCACCATTTTAGTGAATAAAAACATTGTATGGGCCACACTTGAATGAGGTGGCCCCAAGCTCACAATAGTATCCGTAAATTTATATTTCAATTTCTAGGACCCCACTATATGCTTTTATCTGGAAAATCAGTAAATTATTTATTTCATCATTAAAAATGGCACTTAATTTTATAAGTGTATCTAATTTTAATGAGATTTAAATACTGCCTTTAGAATTTAAAATCTTCTTTCTCAATAGTTTAATTGATACAATTCATTTTTGTCTTCATGAGATGTCCTCTCACATAAATTAAGTACTTAATTAATATACATTCTAAATTTGATTTCAAAAGCCTAATGTTTTTTAAATACAAAGATTTCTCAGCGAAGATTAAAAAAAAGAACTACTGTGCATAATATGTAATTGGCTTGCACAAATATGTAACATGTTAAAAAAATAAAGCAATTTGAAAACTCCATTCGTTTAGTAGTTCTTTATTCCTATCAAGATATATCATTGATGTGTACTCTTAGAGATAAAAATGAGACTTTTTTTTTAAATACTATTTGGTCTAAAAGTGTTACCATTAGAAAGACTAAAGATTATGATTTTTACACACATAATTCACTATCTGAAAAAAATTTCATGTGGTTTATTATTAGATAGATCATAATATTACAAGTTGTACTATATTCTAAATATCTATGTCTTCAAATCTAATTATAGGTTTCGTGTGTTTTTAAACCTGTCAGTATAATTAGCAAGTGACACCTTTCCACTACTCTAATTATAATAGTTCTATTAGGTTTGAAATGTATGATTAATTACTAGTCTAAACCCTAGTTACAAGTAAACAATAGATATGATATTAATTGAACAATTACGTGGCACAAAGGACATAAGTTATATCTCCATCTCTTTTAACAAGTTAAACAAGTTTGGGATTTAATTTGATGAAAATCTTATATGGAGAAGAAATAAGAAAATAAAAAAAAAAAATAAATTTTTTATTTTATTTATATATTAGTCATTTTTATTTAATGTGAAATTTTCAATTTATCTTAAATTTTTAACAATTTCATTTTTAGGTGAGTCTCTTTATATTAGAATATTTTTTTCTCAAATATGAGTATCAACTTTTAAATTTTAGAGTTTTTCACCTATTTTATATCATACTCATCTAAATCGTCTTAGAATCAATTATCAATTATGATATCACTATAAGATCTTCTAAAGAAGAGATATTGAAAAAATTTGATACCAATATGTTGACAAAAGAAGGAGATGAACATTTTGTTCCAATAAAGAGTTTTGATTCATGGATAACTGTTCAAGATTTAAATAATGTTTGGATTCAAAATATACATTGAAGACTTAAGAATTTAGTGGTTGAAGTATTGTAATTTGTATATTTTATTTAAGTTAGTAGATTAAAAGTCAATAGGCATAACCGAAGCAATAAAACACTTAGAAAATGTTTTAATTTTTATAAAATCCTTTGTGCTAATCGATTATCACTATTGATAATAAATTATATAATTAAAATCAAGTTTTTCAAAAGAATCTATGTGATAATTGATTATCACTTGAGATAATCAATTATTACAATGAGAAAATAATTTTTGAAATAGTTTTTGAAATAATCGTTTACAACTTTTGATAATCGATTATTAATGACAGTTACAAATAAATTCTTTAATTTTTTGACCTAATTTTAAAACAAAAGTCTATATATATTTTACCTAAACCTAACTTCAAAATAATTTTCACTGAGAGGTTTAGAGGTTTAAGGTTTTACTAAGAAATTCTTATTGTTTGTGAAAGGGGCTTTGAAAATCTAGTATGAATATAGCGAGAACTTTCACTAAGTGTGTTTAAGTGATTGACTGTTGTTGTTGCTAGAAAAGTTGTTCATCCTTTATGTGTCAAAGGGAGTGTTGTTCATCTTTTGTGTCTTCAAAAGGTATTTTCTAACCTTAACTCAATTCTATGTTATTGTAAGTTTTGTTATTTCTTAATGATTATTTAATCCTTCTTTAGAAATATTAACAACTAGAGGTTGAATCGTTTGATTCAAACTAATATAAAACTACTTGTGTAATTATCTCTTTTCTTACGCTCTTTATCTTATTGTCTTTATTTATAAAGAATCGATTTTAGTTATAAAATCAATTTATAAAAGAGAAATTTTTTTAAAAAACACAACTTGTATTAAGTAAACCAATTCATTTATTCTTTGTCTTTTTATATACGAACATTTCGTTGTGTGATTATAACATAATAAATTGTAAATAAATCTCATATAAAAGATTGAGATATGACTTCATTTACTTATTTTCATAACTCTTGATTGAATATAATGTTTGAATTTTCATATTAATTTTGTAATATTATTTATTCAAAAATAGTACTTCTTAGCTTGTGAAATGTGTGACATAATAGTAGTTTAATTAGTACAAGGAAGTAGAGAGGGTTCAATTTATAAGTTTTTTTTTATCTTGTGAGTTAGATTTCAAGTAACAATTATTTATATTTGTTTTATGAATACAAGATTTATTCTAATTCTTATCATATCTTCTTGAATGTATATTTTTTTTTCATGGTTTCCATACGATTAAAATCATGTTTTATCGAATGATCTTTTCATCTAAAGGTTATTCCTTAAAAGCTTGAGTGGGAAGAGGTCACAACCCAAGCAAGTAGTTCGGGTTTGTATTATATCCTCGACAATGCTTTTATGGAAATTTATTTTCAAGTCCAAGACATTTTCATTAGATTGCACTACATACTCATTCCTTGTAAAACAGGATCAAGATAATGTATAAAAATTCAAGATTTGAAGGAAGCAACATTATGCATACAATTAAGTACTAGGATGTAGTTTTTGAAGTGACTAAGTATTTGACGAACTTCCTATATTGGTTGTGTTTTTCTTATTTTTGTAAATTACAGTTTCATTTGGATACCCAATACTCTTTTTTGAGCATAGGCCACACTAACTAAACTTAACATAATCGTTTTGTATCATCCACTTGATGCTCCAGGAGTTAGAGTCACACTTGTATGCCCGTAACACTTCCAAATTTGGCACCAGAGTATACCTCCAACTGGGTTTCATAAATTTTTGCTGACTTTCCTTGATGCTCCCTGAACTTTCCAATCACCACTCCACTCCCCTGCAGATTCCATCAACACGTTATCATATACTATATAGTTTTCTTAAGACACAAGGTTTTAAAAGAATCCAAGAATATGATAAAGCATTTATGTCACTTTCTTACCTACAAAAATGAGGGGTCCATCAGATGTGGTGAGAGAACTAAGATCCGAAGCTCTTTGTTTTCTGATATAATCGATGTTCTGCTGCACATTCATATTGGAGAACCTATCCGAAAAGAGATTGTAGTAGTGCACGTCAATGGCCACTTTACTGAAAGCCCCAGCAAAGGACAAAAGCACTTTTGATTCTCTATCCAGAGGGTTAGACATTATCACATAGGCACTCGACGTGTGTTTTCGAACCGTGTCATAACCTGCTTGATAATACCTTTTAAGGCTTTCCAAATTTACACCTTGAGGCTCATTCATCAGCTCAATTGCTACCAGACCTGATCTGTTTGCATATCTGAAACCCAATTAACACAAATAGTTTATATTACATTGCATGATGTATTTATAAATATAAGACTCAGGATGGTGACACATTTTAGAAAATTATCAAAAGGGACGTTAACTAAAGATTAAAAGTAAAACCTTTCGGCTAGGAAGTCTATGGCAGCCACAGTTTCAGATATGTATGAATCACCCCATTCTAGATATCCATCTCTAGAGGCACTGTGAGGTTTTCCGTTCTGTGAGCCTGGAGCAGCATGCAGGTCCACAATTACCTTAATTCCATACTTTCTGCAACGTCATTGAAAAGCGACATTTAATGAGACAAACTGGTTTTTCCAATTTTACATGGTAACGAAATTGACAGGACACTATCCCTTAAATGGTCTTACTCTGCCCATGTGAAGGCATTGTCCAGCTTTTCCAAGGATCCCCCTACAAACGGCTTTGGTGGTGTTGGGTCTTGAGCTATCCACCACCCCACGGGAATTCTGACACCATTTAAGCCATTTTCTGACATGAACTTGAAATCATCTTCGGTGATATACGTGTTCCAATGATCCTGCATGTGCATGCCCCACATAACAGCTTTATCATTGATAAATTAAAATTTGATCTAAAGTTCTCTTTAAAGCTGATGTTTACCTGCATGATTTTGGGAGCTTTGTCTGGACCATAACCATTTGTAATTTGGTATTCCCCTCTTATAATGCTTCCCGTCAAAACATTCATCTTGAAGACCGAAGGGTCATTATCATCCCAACTGGATCCTTCGTAATCTGCAAGTACCACAGTCTCTGATATGGCCTGAAAAACAATATCAAGAGCATAAAAACATAACACCACATCTATGTTTAAGATTTAGTTAAACAGTAACACCAATAAGACCAAAGTACCTGTAAAAACAGACCGTTTGGTGATCTGATGCGAACCCTGTTTGGTTCATCATCATTCCTCACAATCTCAAACGTTTCCCTGTCGCTCGGTGAATCAGAATCAGCCACCAGACTGTTTCCTTCATCTTGATTTGTCAATCTCACAAATTGCTTACTGGAAACTCTAAAATTGAAGGCCGTTTCATTGACTCTCCACAACTGCGTTCTCGATGGTTACAAAAGAAAAAATGGCACTAATGAAATGCATAAAACTCTTGAAAGTGTATTTATATATATAAATATGTATGTATGAATAGAGGAACCAACCCTGAAGGTTTCCCAACCCGAAGCTCTGGTGCGGTTGGCAACAACAATACTTCCTCCCCCATTTTCTGCACAGAGATATTTCTGTAACTTGGTGGACATTAACTGCACTTGAGTTCCATCCTGCACTTGACACAATTTTCTATGATAGAAACGATAAAAGAAAAAAGAGGGCATTGCCAAAAGATAAAAATTATGATAAACAGCAACATACCAAAAGATCTTTATTGGGTATTCCATCAAAGAGAGAAGGTTTCATCCACCCCTCAATAACGAGCCAATTTCCAAGATTCACAGCTTTGAGTGGCAAATTGAAATTTTCAGTCTGAGCAAGAGCATAGTAACACGAGAGGTAGAAAGCTAGCACAAGGGTCGCATACAATAATCGGTTGCTCATCTTACTACACTTTTTCTTGTGTGGAGTAGTGAGTACTACGCTAGAGGATATGTGTATAACATATATAAGTTCAAAACTCTACAAATATTTTCGCTTAAATTTACTTAGATTATATTCATTTTCTGTCTCCATCTGAAGATTGGAACCCAAGTTTTAGATTTAGCAACCCTAAAAATTAGCAAAAAAAGCATATAGAAAAAAGTTCAATCATATGCCTTTAAATATCAATACAAGTAGTATGTTTCACGCAAATTTTTACATCAAATGCCTCGCCATTGGCATATACAAGTAGGTGGAGAATATCATCTCAATTTCATTTGTGCATTTAGATAACCTTTTTGTTATTTCTTTATTTAAAAAATGACACTTTAACAAAAAATGTTTTTTATATTTATAATTTCCCTCTCAGTTATTATTTCTTCTTGTTGAAGCATCCTTTTTCTGTTGTTCACACAGCACTTTCGCATAAATAGTATCATTTTTAGTTTTTAAAATATAATGGTTTATGTTATTTATTTTCTTTATTATATTTATATTTGTCTCTATGAGAATATGAGTAAACTTGGAATCCATGAACACTGTCCCTCCTCTTTGATCCAAAACATGAGCAGTTTTTTTCCTTCCGTGTTAAACCAAACATTCAAACAAAGGGACCTCTCTTTTTGCTACCATATATTAAAATTATTGATAAATATTTATAAAACTTTCTTACGTAGCTTCTAAAAAAACTTAGTCAGAAGGTTTTTTTATGTGTTGTAGGAAACGTTTGATTCGTTCATTTATTCTTTTTTTCTTGTTAACTTTGGTTTCCTACGCCATAGAAAGCAGCCAAAAATGTTTGTTGAAAAGTTGAATGACTATGGGTGCATGAAAAGAGTATAATGATTGTGTTTGTTTGGCTTAGAACTTGCAATCCCTATAGAGTAGAGTAGATGCATTGATTCTACAGAGGATTTTCTTGGCTCTCAACATCTATACTTTATCTTTCTCACATTTCAAGTGATGCTTCATCTAAGTAATGTTGGTTCAATCGTACCAAAAATTATTGAAACATACACACACCCTCTATAAATTTATACTATTTTTTTTGGCCAATATTTTCTTAGTCAACATGACACCTGCTCATTCTCTTGGAGTAACTTCAATTAAAACCCTAGTAGTTTTTTAACAATTTTAAAATAACATGGATTTCAAACAAAATTTGTTGAATCATAGTAGAAGATGTATTATATATATTGAATAGTGTAATTATTTAATTGTATATGAATCACATTTTATTAGAAGAAAAATTGAGAATATAGCAAGCTGCACTTATTATAATTGAATAAAATACTAAGTAAATTTAATTCTCTTATAAATTTTGATAGTTTTTATTGATTTTCTATTAAAAATAATTGTTCTATGAAATTTCAAAATACTTATATTTGTCCTTGAGTTTACGTTGTTTAACTTTTTTGTTAATTAGGTAACTTAATTAGTTGTTACTTTGTCATCTTACTTAGTTTATTTTAAGACATGACACTTCCACTACCATCATGATAGTAATAAGGATAATTCCTTGGTATAAATTATAATATAGAAATTATTAAAAGCAACACGATTTATTATCTAACATATTTTGTTAGAAAATAGCAAAAGTAACTTATTGTCATATGATAACTACAATATCTTTTTATATCTATCACAAAATAACTATTTTTTATATGTGGAGATAAGTATATAAATAATGATATAAGATAAAAACTATTTGACTCAGTTAATGAAAAATTAACAATAGAAATTCAATTAAAAACTACAATATTTTTTAGTATTCAATAAATAAAAAATAGTAGAATTTAATAAAATTCTCAAATTTACTAACTTATTTAAACTTGAAGTCTATATTTCTAATTTTAACATGCAGTTTGATAGCGCCATACAAGTGTTGTTGGTTCAATCATATAAAAAATTAAAATCGAAAGAAACACACACCATCCAAAAATTCGTTCTATTTGTGGCCAATAAGGTGTTAGTTAACATGACACCTTGCTCATTCTCTTTAAGTAACTTGAATTACAACCTTACTATAATGCAGGGGCATTCTTTAATAATTGTAAAATAATATTGATTTTAAACACAAAATGTTGAGTCATAGTAGAAGTGTATTTACATTAGTGTAACTATTAAATTTGGTGTGAACCACATTTTATTTGAAGAAAATTAGAGAACATAGCAATGCAATCATAGTGATCCGATGCATTTGGAAAAGTAAAAATTAGAGCTAGTGGTTTTAATAATCAGTGACAGCCAATATAGTTCCATTGATGGCATACATGTTATGTCTTATAAAAGCAAATATAAAAAGAGGTATTCATGTGAAATGGGCATAGAGTCAGAGTCATAAATTAGAAAGTTTTCCCTTTTGGTAAATTGCAGATGGAAGAGTAGCAGTTGAATATATTGCTTTGAAATGAATTGAAAGAAGAAATAGTTAGGCGCGGATAAGTACCACTCACTTACCAAAAAGGACTCATAATTTTCAATCTCTTTCACGACAACCTACGTCTACAGCTGTTAAAAGGTTACCAAAGAGTCAACAAGACCTGATGTACTATTTCAACAAATCAAACTTACTAATAATTTTGTGTCGATGACGTGATGTCCTTGTAAAAAATTTATTATTAAAAATATATAAATAAATGTAAATTTTTAATTTTATAAAATTAAATTAGATTTAAAATTTATTATGTCTAAACCCTTCGATTCAAACCATCAACACTATTCAATACTCGTAATCAATCTCAACTTTTGACTACAAACTCTACACTGTGCCTTCTTAAACACAATTTCCAAAAGTAATTAATTGGTAGAGCCGTGCTTACATAATCTTACGATATAAATGAATCCAGATATTTAAACTCTGTTTTCTAAATTTTTTTACTTTTAATATTTAATAAATCGAACAAATTTTAATCACTGCTTACGCATTTTTTTCTTCTTCTTTTTTTTATTGTCCGATTTTTGTTTACTAAATGCGAGTTGCTGTTTGGGCCTGCGCGTATTCAAACGCCCCCAAACGTAGTACGTAGTCACGCATTTGATTTTGCAGTGAATGGGCCAACAGAAAAAAGACCCAAAAATGAAAAACTCAAGGCCGAGCATAGAGCATAACAAAACCAAGCCTAAGCCTAAATAACACAACAGAACACATGTTAGGTACTGCGTTTCAAAACCAATGACCTGCGTAAAGTATTACTAGCTTCTTAGTAATTGATGTCAAAATGTGTTTAAATGTATGAACTATATATTTGAGTACTTTATTTTTTATTAAAAAACAAATATATTAAATAAAGACAATTGGATTTCTTCAACCCATACATAAAATAATATATACAGACAAAAAAAAGGTTTGCATTCATCTCTATATATGATGCTCCAAAAATCATTGTCATTGACAATAATCCCATTAAAGACTAAAAATAACATTATAGTTAATATTCTTTAACAAAATCCCATAATAAAAAAATCACAATGTCATATAAAACAAAATGCACAGAGACACCTATTGATGACACTCACTTATTACACTTTTCAAACGCGCCTAAAAGAGCAAGGGAGTTTTAAATGTTAAGATTAGAGTCGTATTGAGTTTAGACACGTAGTTGGGTTAAGTTGACTTTTTTTAATATAGGTGAAAATAAACTTGGTTTATTTGATCTAAAAGGTTTGAAATAAGTTGAATTGAGTTTATTCATAACCAATTTTTATAACTTTTGGATTCCTTTCTTCAACTTAAATAATTTTTAATGAAAATATATAAATAAGTTGAACTTTTTATTAAACGTGTTTTCATCTCTAATTTATAATTATACAAAACTAACTTAATTGATGTTGTAAGCATATTTGTATATTATATATTCTAACTTTATTTGTAATTGACGTATGATATTCAATAAAACTCATGATAACGATCTTTATTGTGATAAATAATCTAAAAAATAAACAATATTTTAATAAAAAAATTATGTTATAAGATTCATGTATGAATCTAGGCCTCACATGGTATAAAAGTAAGAAAGTTGAATCAAGATTCATACACTCGTTATCTTATTTTGGATTGAAAATTGCATGAATATCTCTTATATGGGCTGCACTCATGTTTTATTATTGTTGTATTTCTTTAATGGTCCTTCCTCAAAAAGAATCATAAGTAGTATTAAAGTTGATAATTAATGTTAATGATCAATTTAAAACAATAGATGAGACAAGTACGTTCTGTTATATATATAATGAACAACCGTACCAATAACTTAAGTTGTTTGTTATAAATTTAATTAGAAATCATGAAAATAAAACTATATTATATAATAAATAAATAGGAACCGTCTCTATGTTTAAATTGATTTTATAAAAATTGATTACGATTCCAACTCAACTCAATTTATTTATATCATATGGATCAAATAAACCAAGTTTATTTGTCTACATCGAAAAAAAAAAATTCTAACTTAACCCTTCTCAAATTTACGGTGAACTACAGTTCACTTATTTTAACTCTTTTGACATCTTTTGTGATGACGAGTTGATATCTTTTGTTATTATTACTAGTTTAACGAGATTTTATTTCAAATATATGAAAAAGGACAACGATTGAGAACTCAACTTGTAATGTTTTTATGAGCCTTTTACATGACGTAGAGCACTGTTTTGGCTACATCATTTTATAAAGTGGCATTGTAAAACTGTTGTTTGTGAGAAAAATTCCAAACTTGGCTTGAAACAAAGCAATATTTCATCATGCAAAATTGATCTTCATCTACAAAGCAACAAGTTACAGTCAGTTGTGACCGTTATAAGTGTACAAGAAATTACCGTTGTCGAGTCAACATGATTTGTTTTTTCTGAGGTATATATATTTTGAAGTAAAATAGTAAATGTATTTATTGACGTCGTAGGGGAAAAAGTGAGCACTATGATTATGTGAGAATATAAAGAAGATTATAGATAATAAAGTAATTAGAATTTTGAAATTGATAGATTTAGAAATGCGCGTAGAAAAGAAAGAGAGGCGTAGTGGGGGGCAGGATCTATCTGGTAGACGAAGCAAAGAGGCAGAAAAGGGTGTTTATGTTCTGACGAGAACTGTTTCACGTGGT